TTGTGTTTGGCTGGCCGGCGGCAGACAGCAATAAATTCATTAAGAGGATGCTGACGGACGGGCGCACCGCCGACGCGTACATGCTGGCTCCCATTGTGTTGCAGGAGGCTCTTCTGGACTACTGGCGTGCTGCCGTGGCTGATGGTGTCAAGTTTGTGTCCGGGCAGGTGATCGCGACGGGGACGAACCCGCTGGCGAAGGACACAAGGCACGACGCCATCCGTCGCTTCCAGGGGGCGATGCGGGATTACCTGAAGAACAGTGGGCAGAGAGTCTACAACGACGCTGATCAGTTCCGCACGCATGACGGTGACGGGGAGTTCATGGTGGATGGGTGGATTGCCGGCGAGGTGCTGGCGCGGGCGCTGAGGGACTGTAAAGGGGTGAGGGACCGCAAGTCGTTCATGGCGTCTATCTTCAACCAACGCCGGTATGTAATCGACGACCTTGTGATTGGCGACTTCGGTGGTGAGTTTCTCTTGCTTTGGGAGGCCTGTGGAGGAATGTATGCGTTTCGGTTCTCTTGTCTTGGGGCGCTTTATGTAATTATATCTTGTGGGCTTCAGTTGTTTGTTCTGTTTTCTCTTACGCTTTTAGTTTTGTTGGTATTTACTGGCAGCTTATCTGCGGTTAAGGTGGTTTTTTTTTGCTGCAGTGCTACTGTTTGCATGCGTTGATGCGGAAAGGAATGCTACTATGGGCGTTGCTTTTAGGCGTCGCTGTTGCGGATGTGGAGGGCAACGGGCGGCTGTGCGGCGGGAGGGGCTTTCGCGCGCCGATGCGCGGCTTTTGCGCCGGGCTTCTGCGGCTGCTGCTGGGCTGTGTTTTCTTCAGCCTCCTTTCGTGTAGGGAGGCGCTTTCGTTGCGTCGCGGGGCGCACGGTGACTTTGCTCTCGGCAGCATTTATGTGCCCCCTGCCCCGCCCGAGGAGAAGGGGGCGGCGACGGTGGTGGGCTGCTTCCCCCGCGTCGTGCTCAGCCCCGGCAACGCAACGTACTACTGCGAAGTCCGCGGCGCCGCGCTACTCCGTGGGTTGAGCCTCTACGCCTCGTACTACACCCCGGAAGGCAGACTGTGCGGCGGCTGGCCGGCGTCCCTGGGGGCGGCGACAAACTGCGTTTCGTTTGTTCCTGCCACTGCCGCCCCGTCCGGGACGATGACGCTTGTCATCACCAAGCACTCCGCCTCGGGCGCTGCGCACTTCCTGCCTGTGACGACCAACGCATCCGTGCACTTTTTGCCTAGCGAAGCCACCCACGCACGCTTCACTGCACCGCTTCCGTACTACGGGTTGCACTTCGCATGGACGACGAACATGCCGCGCGAGGACGCTGTGGGCGGTGCCCTACTGGTGCGTGCCGGCGTGGACTGCCCCTCCACCGCGAGAAAGTGCAGTGCGGGGCTTGGCTGCCACAACGTGACCGATTCGCATCGACTTCCTTTGCCTGGTATCTACTCACTCTGCGTCACCGCCGATGGCTGGCGCGGCCACTATCTACCGTGGGGCCAATCCCTCCTTGAGGTGAAGGCGCTGGTGACGGTCCCGCTCTACCTCGTGAGCGGAGCACGGACGAGCATCAAGGCGTACGATGCGGCACTGGGCAGTCCCTTCTCCCGGGCGCATCGGGTTTTTCTGACGCCGTGCTTGGGCGTCCCTTGTGAAAAGAGCGACACAGTCTCCGTTGAAAGCGTGGTGCACGTCGACACGTGTCGAAGGGCGCCCCTCTCGCATCGCGTCTATTACTCGGAAGATCGCCCGCTTTACCTACATCCCTGGAATTACGCGGTGTGCGTTGAGCTTTCGCCTTGTACGGGCGCTGCCTCGTGTGGCGTGACGCCCTCGGCGTTGCCCGTGACAGCTCTTGTGAACGCCTTTGTGCTCGCAGTTGTGGATGTCTTGGGCGACACGTTGGTGCTTGGGCTGACAGGGGGAGACCTTGGGCGCCGCAGCCTGCCCTACTATGTGTGTTTTTTGCCCACCACTGCGTCGTGTGACTCGGAGTTGCGCGCGGCGCATGCATGTGTGCGGGGCGCGACGCCCAACGCGCCTTTTCTGCACATCAACCGAAGCCGTGCTCAGTTGCCGGACGCCGTGACCTTGTGTCTCGTGGCGGCGAACACGACCTTTTGGGGCCGCCGCTACGTGTGGGTGCAAAAGCTGGCGAGCGTCACGCTGAGGGACGCCGCCTCTGTCTCCGATGGACGTCGCGTTCCTAAGGCGCTGATCGTTGCGATTGTCATCGGCGTTGTTACCGCCACTCTTTTGGCAGTAGACGTACTAGTGCGTTGCCACCTGCGCCGTCGAAGGGCACGCCGGGTTGCCTCCGGTGTGGAGGTGGCAGGTGAGCCCGCCGTGCGTGAGCCGGACGCCGTTGGACCGCGCCTGAACCCTTTGGTGGGTGCGGGTCAAAAAGAAGTGGATCTCGCCGCCACGCATGCACGCCGCGGCACGGAGGGCGCGGACCTCGGTGTGCCTTTCACGCCTGTCTCAGCGCTGCCCGCGGCGGAGGACGGGAGGCGGCGCCCGCCACCCGGAGGCCGTCGCCGGTTAGAAGAAGACGCCTCTGCAACGGTCAACCCCCACCGCGGTGCCTCGCCGGAAACTGTGAAGCCTCCTGCGCCGCCGCTTGCGTCTCGTGAGGAGTCCACGAATCTTCATTATGCCCAGAGAGACACCTCCGTCTTTGAGGCCGCGGACACGGGGGCTTGCGTTGCCGCAAACGGGGCCCTCACGGCCGCTAATAACCCGTCGCAGGTGTCCGGTGCGGCGGCACTGTACGCAGGCCTGAGGCCCAGAGGGGGCGAGGTTGGGCCGGCCGGTCGCAGGGCACCTTCCGCTGCGGTGGAGGAGAGGGGTGCTCCGCAGCATGCAGCGGTAGCCGATTCGGCCACGAATGCCGGTCATGCTTTATTCGCACGGGATGAGCCGGCACCTCCTTCACCGCCGCCTGTTACGGCCGCCCGCGTCACCCTCAAGACGCAAGAGCCCTCCGATGAGCTTCCTGCGCCGCAGGGCTCTGGTGCCGCAACGCGAGAAGGCGAGTCGAAGGTGCTACATGCCGCCAACTTCGCTGCCGCCGTGGTTGACACGGCTAGATTCGACGCACAGCATAGCGGGTGCCGAGCACTGCTGCCGGCAATTGGGCAGGACAAACCTCCTCCACGTGAAGGGGCTCATTCGATGGGCAAATCTGAGAGGCAAGCACAGGCTGGGCGTGAAGTGTCAGGATCCAATGCGACTGCTGCCTCCTGCGCCGTCAGTGTGGGTTCAATGCGGGACTTGACGCGGGGCTCACGCGGAGAAAAAGATGTGGGGTCGCTGACGAAGCAGGCAGTTGGCGCAACATCCACCAATGAGCCGGGAGTGAACACGAGTTGTGCGTCCACCAGCGTCGTCGCTGCCGCGCCCGTTTTGGGGGCTGGTATGTCGACGACGACGTCCTCCACAGCAACAGTTTCTCGATCGATGAGTGAAGAGCTGCCATGTGCGCTCTGCCTCGATAGAATTGGGCAGCCTCCGGGCATGACTAGTTGCGGATGCCGTGAGCGTTCCCCAACTGCGGAGCTGGCGACTTCTCTCGGAGAAAGCGAATGTGAAACTGTTGGCACCCTGAGCTCTTCGTCGTGAGGGATTCGAACCCTTCACACGGAGCGGATTGCCCGGTTGGATCCGCCCCTTGCCGCACAGAAGAAGTGCATGTTGCATACATGTGACGGACGCTCCGGGTCATACCCCGTGCTGTAGCTTTTTGTTTTGTTTTTTATTTGTGCGTGGGTCGACGCTGCGCTGCACTTGGGCGGCGGCGACGGCGGAATCGCACGAGCACCCACCCACAGGAGGAGCAAAGACTCTTTTATCGCGACTTCACACGTTTTTTTTCCCCCCGTGTCGTTGGTTGTCATTTTACGTGTGTTTTTGTTGCTGTTTATTTACTTATTTAGCTTTTTCGCTTTTTTTTTTCTGGTGGCGTCTTGACATGGCCTTGTGCCGCGCTGCCGCCCACTCCGTTGTGTGTCGTGCGCGCTCCTCGCCTTCCGGCTGGCCGGCGCCAATGCCGCCGCTACACGCCGCCGGGGGGAAGTGGGCGATGTGGCAGGACAGCAATGGACCCCAAGTGCAATGCGGCTCCCTCCCTCCCTCCCCCCCTTTCTTTCTGTGTCTCGGTCGGCCTGTCTGTGGGTGGCGGAGGCTGAGCGGGGCGAGACGATGAAAAACCGCCGCCCCGCTTCTGGCGTCGCATGCAAGCTTCTTTTTTCTTTTCTTTTTTTTTGCTTTGCTGGCTTTGATAACTGTTTTCTTGCGCTTGTGTCGCGTGCACTCCGACGGCACCTGCGGGGTCGCGCAGGCGGGTCCCGTGGCTGGGCATCGCCTGTCGCCTGCCGGTGTGACGCCCACATGACTGCTGCCTTTTGATTTTTCTTTTGCTCCCCGCTCTCTGTAGAAAAACCCGTGGGAGGTGTTTGGGGCCAGATGGGGCACGGAAACCCGGCAGTGTTTTTTTTTTGTTTACTGTGCCCTTTCTGTATTTTGAACCTCCGTGCCACTAACTGTCCACCACGCGGAAGACTTCGATGACTGCGGAGCCGTAAGGAACCGCCACTTTGCGGGTTCTCCACGAGAATCCGGTTTTTTTTTTATTTGCAGCGGGTTGTGCATGAAACAACCGGCTGCCTTGTTCCACTGTGCGTGTTTCTGCGACATCTCACCCGAGGCGCGGTGACGGGGACACTGAGCCGAACTGTGAGCTTCTTTTTGCAGCGTGCTTTCCTCTTGATAGAGGCAGGCACACGGCGCCGTCGAGACACATCTCTTTGGCTTTTGCTCTCTGCCGTGCATTAACTGCTGCCTCTTTCACTGTTTTTTTTAATCCCGTTTTTCCCTCTCTCTCCGTTGCGGTGCCGCAGCGCGGCGTGGCGGGTTCGGTGCGTCAGCGGGAGTGTCGCAGGGGCGAAGGGAGGAGAAATGGTGCGTTGCGTGTGTGTGTGGGCGGAAATGGCACCCCTCCAGCGGGGTGAGCCGCCACCAACAGGCGTCTTTTGCGTGTTCCCTCCTGCGCATTCAATCACGTATGCACATGACCCCCGCACTGTTTGCCGCCACGGCGCCGTGACGGGGAAGGCTGCCTGCCGCATTGCCATGCCGCATGTACGTATTGCCAACTCTCGCGCGTACTTCTCACTGTGCCTCTTTTTCTTCCCTTCTTTCCTGTAGGTTGGGCTCCTGTGGGGCACACATGCCGAACCCATGCAGTAGGGTCCCGCATGAATCCGCCTCGGCTGAGCCGGCGCCTCGGCGCGGAGGCCGACGCCGGCGTGGAAGGATGCAGAGAGCGGTCGTGTACGTGAGCGACTTCTTGCCGCCACCACCCTCGCCAACGGCGGGGCAGCGGCAGCCGCGCACGCACCCGCGGCTGGAGAGGGAAGAGGGGGCGGCGGATGCCGCGGGCCCTCAACGTGAGAAGAAGAAGCGTGGGGTGCGGCCTTTTCCTGGGCCGTGGGCGGCGGCTCCGCCAGGGACGCGCCTGCGGAAGGGGAAGCGGCGCGACCCCGACGCGCCATTCAATCATCGTGCACGGGTGTCGAAGCTGCGGCGGACGATCCATGCGGAGCGGAAGGCGGCGTTTGAGTCACTTCTGTCCTGCAGCGACGGCGCCCAGCCTCGCGAGCCGTCAGTGGGCGCCAGCAGCGACGGCGAGGAGCCTGAGAGTTTTGGCGGAGGCGCGTCCCCGACGTCCGTCGACGCGCCGGCGCATGCACCCCAGCGGCAGCGGCGACAGCTGCGCAGAATGCAGGGCCTTGTGGCGGATCTGGAGGCGATCTACGGCCGGCTGCATCGGGCCATGCGGGGGAGGGACTACGCGGGGGCGGGACAACACATGCGCCACATCCGACAGCTGAAAAAGCGCCTCAACGCCGCAGCGCTCAGGTGGCGCTCGAATGCGATGGCGGTGACGGACGCGGAGGAGGCCGCTCCAACCCTTTGCCTGCTGCGCCACGACGTGGGGGCCTCCAAGAGCGTTGCGGAGGGCGCTGCGGCGTCCAACGCTGTGAAGCTCGCGGGTGCCGCGGCGGAGGTGACCGGCGAACCGAATTACTTTAGCTTTTACCCTTCGCTGGCGCAGGTAGGGGTGGGCTGCCACCCGCTCGCCGCATGGATCGATTGCCGAAGCCACAGGTACCCGCGGCGTGTGGCGAGGGAGGAACTTTCCCGTTTCATGGGTGCCGGGCCGGAGAATGCGCAGGACGAGCAGGCAAGCTTGACGGGACCGGCCGTGTCCCCCACAGTGAACTTCGTTGGGGCGTACTGCACAAATCTCCTAACCGATGCCCTGGACGATCTTGTCTTTACAATCCTGCAGCAGCAGTATCACCTGCAGCGACGCATGAAGCAGGAGAAGCCGCTGCAGTTTAAGGCGAGGCGCTTCTACACGACCGGGCTTCGGGAAACGTTGAAGGGGCTACGCGCTGCCGCCACGCGTGTCCCTGTTGTGCTCCTCGCCTCAGATATTGAGGCGTGTGCAGGCTTCGACCAGAAGGGGCCTTGTGATGCGGTGAGGGGGGCGACGGCGGCGGCCACGCACCCGCTGCCCGGCGGGAAGCGAAGGACGGTGCAGGAAATGGGAATAGTTGGGACGCTGGAGGAAATCCGCTCACACTGCGCGTCGCGCGGCATTCCACTCATTACGTGCATGAGCCGCCGCCGGCTCGCCTACGCGCTGTTTGCGAAGGGGTGCACCATCGCAGCGGTGCTCCTGCACTCCGCGGAGGGGGTTCACGAGGAGGTGCGGGTTCTGCGGCACTACGCCCTGCGTCTCTCTGAGGCGTTCGCCGCCGTTGCTGCGGCACACGCGAACACCCCCGCGGCGTCCTGAACGACGAAAACCATCAGGCGAAGAACAAACCCAAAGCGAAACGAATAGTTCTACGCATTGGCTTTTTTTTTTGCGTTCTTCGCTCTCGCCTAGCTCTTGTTCATTGCCTCTTGTTTTTCTTTCTTTCTTCTCTTCATGCGATGCTCTTTTGCTCCTCTTCCGCCCCCGTTCTGTTGTCGTTGTTGCCGTTATTGGCGCTGCCGGGAAGCGGAAATTTGCGCGGCGGCTCGACGCGGGGATGGAGACGCCGTTGCGGCCCTGCATCCTGCGCCTGCGCCGGGCCCTGGCGAAGGCGCAGCGTCTACTGCGTGCCGCGGGCGCCAAGGCGGACGTGCGCGGCCTGGACGAAGAGCACCGCGCCGAGTTTATAAAGTCGGTTCGCCGCCTGGGGGTTCTGCTCTCCTCCGCGGAGCTGCAGTTGGGGGCGCTGGGGGAGGAGGCCTGTCGGGACGCGGCGGTCGCGGGGATTATTTGCTCCGCCAGGGCGTTTTTGGCGGACGCGGTGTCGCCCAAGGGAAGCCGCGGCGGTCTCCCTGCGCCGTGCGTGGGGCTGCTTTGCCGGGAGCGCGCCCCCAGGCCCCCGTTTGCCGTCACTGCCCCCTTTTTGGTGCAGGAGGACCCGCGCTGCCTGGGCGAGCCGGCACGCGTCCTCCCCTGCGTGTATCACCGGGACGAGGAGCCCGTCCCACGCGCCGCCCCGCCGTGTGCGCAGCCTCTGGAGGCGATGGCACACTCGCACGCAGCACCGACCGCGGCGGACGAGGAAGCGGCGCACGCGCAGGTGATGGAAGACATTCGTGCGGCCATTAGGGGCATGAAAGAGGGTGTTATTCGCATGAGTGACCTGATGCAGCAGGAACGCGTGCGACTCGATGCGAATGCTGAGTTGCTGCAGCGCGGCGTTGATGGAACAGCGACGCAGGCGCGTCGCATGGATCAGCTGGGGTACGCCTTCGGCGGGGGCCCGCCTCCGCCGCGCTGCCTCCATAGTGTGCCTGGCGCAGAGCTCTTTTGGCAGACGGTTGTAGCGCCCATGTGGGCAGTTCTCAGGCAGGCCGTGTTTTTATGCCTTATTGTGGCTACCACCTGCGGTGTGCTGCTGTTGATGGTGATGGCCCCAAAGACGTACGTGTATTTTCGCTAAACGCCTTTTGCTGGGCGGTGAGTCTTCATACAAACGCTTGCTTTGTTTTTGTTTTTGTTGTTGCGTTTGCGGAGGTATGCATGTAAGCGTGCAGGCCCCTATACGTGCGTGTGTGTGTGTGTGTGTGTGTCGTGCATCCCCCTCCTCTTCCTGTGGGGAGTTTGCAGTGATCATGTGCGGTGCGCCGGGTTGTGCGTGTTTTTCCTTTGTGTCTTTCTGCATGGGAGCTCCTCCTTCCCTCGAGGCGTCTTCTTCTTTCTGTTGTTTTTTTTTTCGCTTTGCCTGCTGCTTCCCCCCGACTATTTCCCACGTCGCTGCCCGGCACCCACGCACCCGCCCCTGCCGCGCCGCAGGTGAGTTCTGTTTGCGATTGCGTAATCCGGCGGCCACCAGGCACCGGCGCGGCCCTCCACGTCACCACATCGGGAGTCGCGCGAGAGGTCTTCTGCGGGATGTCGGCATTGGCGTTCGACGCGGCCTTCACTGGGGTCGTCTACCTCGGCTTCTCCCTCTACGGGCGCTTCGTGTACCCGCTGGTGGCGTCCGCCGTGAAGGCCCGCCTGCGGGATCGTCCGCAGTGCCTGCGGTCGCTGACGCTGAAGGACAAACTCTTCATCGCCTTCGCCAAACTCGTCACGGCCCTCTTCGTCTACCACACCTACCGGTTTATCGTCAACACCGAGGTGAGCGGCATGTGCGTGGACTTTCTAGACGGCCTCCGCGCTTCTGCGCTCGCTGGCGTGGATGCCGCTGCACCTCGTGGTGCTCTTCGTCGTCTACGACTTCTTCTACACCCTCTTCCACTGGGGGCTGCACTGGCCGCCGATTTACCCCCTCATCCACAAGCACCACCACCGCCAGCTGACGCCGTTTCGCGGCATCGACGACTCCATCAACGACCACCCGTTTGAGTACGTCACCGGCGAGTACCTGCACCTCTTCGTCCTGTACCTGCTCACCCGCGTCACCCCCGTGGGGCAGGTGCACGCCCTGACCGCAGTGGTCTTCATCTTCATCGGCGGCACGCTGGCCGGCCTCAACCACACCCGCATCGACGTGCGCATCCCGTACCTCTTCAACGTCTGCGCCCACGACCTGCACCACGCGCAGTTTCACTACAACTATGGCCAGTACATTATGCTCTGGGACTGGGTGTTTGGGACCTTCAAGAGCTACCCGGAGGACGCGAAGGCAGTAGCGGAGTAGGACACCACCCGCGCAGCCCGTCTCGATGTGATTCCTCCTCGCACAGGCGGGGAGTGTAGGGCGCGGCAGGGGGAAAACAAAAGTGAAGGCGTAATAGCAGGCGGGTTCCCCTTTGCTGGGAGCTGTCACATGCGTGGACGAGGGGCAACCCGTCCCACATGGCGGTTTTTTTTTTTTGGGGGGGGGTCTGAGACGGAGGGGGAAGCGAAAGAGAGAGGGAGAGAAATGGCAGGTCTGCTGGGGGGATACGGAGTTAAAAGAGGGGATGCGACACCCAGCTGCTTACAACAACTACCTGTTGGACCCAATAATTCATGGGGCGTACTGCGACGTCTGCTGCTGCTGCTTGCGCCTCAGGGTCACGGACAGGCGGCCTCTTTGCTTCTGTCTGCATGGCTGTGGAAGCGTGCGTGTGTGTGTGTGTGTGCTATGCTCACGTGCAGCCTTCCTGCAGAGGCGGGAAGGGGATGCTGAGAGAGCAGCGGCGGGAATCAGGAGCAGCCGTGTTTTGGGGTCGATTTGGGCCCACGGTTTATTTGATGCGGCTCAAACGCCTCTTCACGGACTCTGATGCGGGGAAGGGTGAGGAGAGAAAAGAATTGGGCGACAACCTCCTCATGAAGTGTTGCATTGCGGGGCCATCAAGAGGAATATAACTCCTCTCGGCGCGGCCACACTGAGAAATGCCGCTTTATCCTTTTCCTTCTCCCCCGTCCCTCTTTACTTTAGGAATACACACACACACACACACAAACAGAGAAAGAGGGAGGGAGCGGCAAACACATACTTTGCTGCAGCGTCTGCATGTGTGGTTCGCTCGCCGCGTCTCATGAGTTTCGCCCCAACGGGGCTCACGCGGCACCGCTTTTCAACCCTTTTCTGTCGCCCTTTGCACCACTGTGAGTGACGCCGCCACCCGCGGCTCGCCCAAGACGCTTCAGTTCCCCACAGCTATCTTCAGCTCCTCGGCGTACCCGTCGTTCTCCGCCTCGTCGTCTGCGTCTTTCCTGCTCGCATTCACGCACCGCGTCGAAACGGATGCTGCAGAGGTACTCGTTAAAACGGACCCCCGTCTACGATGCGTTTGGAGGGCCCACTTTCTTTTTCTTCTTTGCCTGTTGTTGATTTTGCTTCTTTGGTTAAGTGTTGGGTGCAGCGTCTTTCCATCGAATGTCGCCATTATTTTATTTTTATTTTAATTTTGTTTGCGGCAATTTTGTGTGCCGCACCGCCGCAAACCGCATTTTACTTCACACTCCATAAACAGGCGCTGTCGGCGGCAGCGCGATGCTGTGCCGCCCATGAATGAACGGCGCCTCGCTTGTGTTATTTGCTGGTTTCTTTGGGGGATGGCCTCAGTGGCACCGCGGGCGGGGCAGTGCGGACGCATGTTGGCCGTCGCCCGTAAGGTCGCCTGCGCGTTCCTCCGGCAGCAGGTTGCCTGCCTCTGGGGGCTGTTCTGCTTCGTGCCTCCGTGGTGCTCTTCGCCCGCATTTCTCTCTCCTGTGCGCGGTGGCCTCCGGTTCCGCACAATTCCTGGCGCCTACAGCCTGGGGCGCGCTGCAGGCGCCGCGGCCTCAGAGACGCCCACCCGCCTGCCTGGTGGTTTGCTCCGTCCTCTCTCTCTCTCTCTCTCATTTCCAAGCCCATCTCTTCGTGTGTGTGTGTGTGTGGGTGGGTGGGTGAGTGGCATTGCCGCGGTCCTCAGCGTCACGACGGTGCGCGTGCTGTGCATTTTTCTTTGATGCTTCCTTGTGCCAGTTCTGGCTGGGCAACACGCCCCTGCCCGCACCCCGCTGCCGCACCGAACCCCTCCCTGCCCCCACCCCCGCTTTACCTCCCACAGGCACGCAGTAAGGATGGCACGGCACGTAAAACGGATGGCCTTAGTTGTTGGCCTCTGCTTCCCCATGTTGTTGTTTGCGGTGTTTGGCCTCCAACTCCTTGAGGTGAACGTCGGGCTGGACTTGAAGGGTGCACCGCACACCAACCTTTTCAAGCCGCCGTCTTGTGACGAGGTCGCCCGCGCTGCTGATGCCGAGACGCTGCAATATGTTCCTCGCGGTGTCGTGGACGCATGGAAGAGGCAGAACTTTCTCATTGTGTTTGGAATCCCGTCGGA